TAGTCGGTATCATTTTTACTAATACCTGTCTTATAGCTTCATGACTTTGAGTTCATATTATTTTCATGCTTCAATTAGAAAGAAGTTGATAGCCAGACTATCCAGGAAGGTAATGGAAAAGTCTTGTAGCAGGGCTTAGTGGTGGAATTTATAGTTAAATGAAACTTTGAAATATACTATAAAACTTCTCCTTCCTTTACGCACTTTTACTTGAGGTCTCATAAACAGTAATATGTAGAAATGCAAAACTTAATCAGCTAAAAAATATAGCAAATCCCACATATCACTTTATGCAATGCCAGGAGAGCAGAAATATATTTTCCTAACCAGAGGAAATTAACTAGGCAACAGTCCTATATCTATAATTTAAAGCAGTAAAATATGTATGGCAGAAGCTAAAGCCACCTTAAAAGAATTCAGAGTAGCAGTATATCACAAATTAATGAAATGGAGACATTTTTAGAGCATGCAGCACTGATGATATTAAAGGGGAGAGAATATTTCACCACATAGATCAGACTGATAAATACTTTTAAAATCAAGCTTTTTCCCTGTTTAAAAGTGTAAGATCTTGAATGTTAAGAGGAAGTATGTACAAATGATTAACATTTCTGAACAAATCTTAATAGAGATTAGGATTATTTTACTCTGTCCCTGCCTGTAAAGCTCTGATGTTTACACATTAGGAAAATCTGAGTAAATAAAAAGCCAGGAATTACAGAGTCAGCACTTACACTTTTTCATCTAAAACAGAGCTGAAAGAAACTTAAAAAAATTACTTTATATTCCGTGCTGTAGCCAAGCTGGACACTACGGAATATTCAACTACCGCAGGTTTTTTAAATGCAATCAATTTACTGCTGCCAAATGTAGTAGGTTTATATACATCTGGGAAACATGCACCTACGGTGCTGATGAATTTCTCCTGACATTGCACTGATTTCAAGAGAATGTTATTTTAAATTGGCAGTAGAGAGACTGGTAGAGAAGGATAAAGCCCTGAGGATGGCTGAATCAAAGAGAATTTCAAAAGAATTTTCCTGATGGTTCTTGGATAATATCACATGTTAGCTATTTTCAAAGCCAATAGTTTCCAACACACTTCCATTTATGGTATCAATAATTAAAAAATACTTCAGTGTGAGAGGAACTTACCTTACTGAGAAGAGAAATTGGAAAGCTGTGCTATTATCATAAACACAGGAGATGCAAAAAGCTGTGTCTCCATGGAAAAGCTATGGAAACAGGGGTATCTTATTTGCAGCTATTGAGTGGTTACCACAAAATGTGATGTGATTGCATGTGCGTGTTCAAAGTGCTACTAGAACATGATCACAGAGAAATGAAGGGCAGATCTTCATCTACTTTGTATAACAAGGCCAAATTAAACTACCTCAAGCTTTGGTCCTAAACCTCAAAGACAACTAGAACAGTGTTAAGGAACTATCTTGGATCCAATTCAGAGGTAAAGCTGGGTTTAAAGAAAATTTAAATTATCAAAACTCAAATCTCATTATGTCCCACTCCCTGCCAGCATGTCCCTGCCAGCTCCTAATGAATTTTTAACATCCTTCCCCCACCCCACTGCGCACACCAGCTCTGGCTCGGGCACCCTGAACTGTACAGCAGCACTCTAATTGTACCTCACATGTCAAGGGGCAAGAAGAAAGGAGTGTGGTGAGAGCATTGATAAATTTAACTTAACATTCCTCCAGCTACTCAGCAGCAAGGCAGAGCAGCAAACTCCCCTCCACATTTTGCAGGGGTGTCAGTTACTTCAAAGGAATATATTTGAGCACGAGGGAGTCTGGCTTGCTTCCAGCTTATGCATCATTTGTGTCTGGCTGTTTCTGGAGATCCACAGCAAAGCAAAGACTTCCTCCAGTTTGGGGCACAGTGTGAAGCTTTCCATACCTGCTTTATTAGGGTGCTGGAAGAGGTGAGCCCTGCATGTTGCATTCAAACCGTGTAGTTGGAGCTGCAGCTCCAGCCATCTGTATTTCTTCCTGTTTCTTTTTTTTTCACTTTTGCCCAGACTTCTCTCAGTCCAGGGTATAGATTAATGGTCTATACCTGTTCACTTTAACATACAGATGTGCTTTTAAGCACCGACAGAACCTGTTCAGGCAGGTTTCAGGAAGCCAAGCACACATTGCTTGGGGGTGGAAGCCATGTAGAGCAGGGCAAGAGGCAGCGCTGGGTCACTCTCGGTGTGGGTTCAGCAGGGGTGAGGCTCAGGGAACAAGGAGCAGGCACAGATTCTGACCCTTTTGGGGGTGCTTCTGGAGCATCATGCAACAGCCATGGCCATAGGGAGCAGTGTGACTGCCATGAGATAACATTAAGGTTGCTGTGATCCCACAAACTCTCATTAAATGTTTTGGTGCCTGAGTCTCAACAACACTTAATTTCCATTAATGGCATTATTTTACCTTGCAATTAATCTCATTAATTGGATGATCAGTTTTTTGAAATTGTTTTAGCAGCACATGGAGAAGAGCTTTTGTACTATCTGCAAGTGATCACCATTGATTCTTGACTAAAGGTAGAAAAGCTGGTTCAAGAGCTTCACACACACACACACACAAACACACACACACACACACACACACACACACACACACACACACACACACGGGAAAGAGAGATGATATTCATTGTGACAGAAGTGCAAATCTCAGAAGTCACCTTTTCTTTTGAAGCCCTTTGTCTATTCTTACAATTAAGCAATAGGGTTGTGGTGGCCAACACCCCTTGTGGGACACAGAGGACTTTCACAACTCAAACTAAAGCTGTGTGACCTCTGCCAAAAGCAAAGGCTGCCTGCCTGCGGCAAGGTGGAGAACAGAAACAAGTCCCAGAGGATTGGCAGGTGCAACTAAACAGCTCAGCTTCTCATTTGAATCAGTAAATTAAGGGTTGACAGTGATTATGGCTGATCTCAGCCATCATAACTGATATAACGACTTTGTAAAAGCAGACTGTCAATGTCAGATCTTAGAACTAGGACTCAAAGAATTAAATATTTTAAAGTAGCAGTCTCCAAAGACAGATAAAAGCCCCAAGGCTATGATTTATTTTATTTTATTTTTGTATTTGTAGGGCTGAAACTAGACCCTTTAATCCACAGGCTGACATTTTCCAATCCTACTAGGAATTGAGTGCCTAACTTTTTCAACCCCTTTGAAAAATCTCAGCTTTAGGCTCTTTGGTAAATTTGGCCTGATCCAGCACCAAGCTTCTTTTGAAAATGCCTCTACTGAAGGTAAAACTACAGGCACTTTATTATGTAATCATGAACAAGTATTATTTTTTTCCCCTATGTATCCAGTTATGGCAGATTTCTGGTTAAATATCAAAGGGTAAAACCTGCATTTCAGAAAAGGTATGTGTTATAGGAAGCTTCCTCCTCACTTTTAGTGCAGTATGCCTAGCTACACAATTATTGAAGATCTTTCTAAATAATTGCTGTGTTCATTCAGTAGATTATTTTATTAAACAGAGATCTGATCAGCTACTTACTGATCACATCTATTCACAAACTCAACCCCATCAACCCTTTTACAGTAAATACTCCATCAGAAATTATGGGAAAGGTATCATAAGTTAGTTTTACAGAAAAGTCTCATATTAAGTCATTCTGGTTCCCAACCCTCTTTTCTCTTACTGAAAAAGCGCCCATGGACTTCAGTGTCTTTATCCAAGATCTGAGTGTGTGCTATGATTAAGACCTTCAGATATCTTTTTTATTTTTTTTCTTTTTCCTCTAGAAACAGGGAATACTGAAGATATGGAAAATGAAAAATGTGCCATGTTTGTCCTTGAAGTTACAGTTAGAATAGTGACAAAGCTGTATCACGCTGTATTGTTGCTTTTATCAGCAAGTGCCCTGAGCATACATTAACATAATTGCAAACTGCGTGAAAAGTGAACATGCAGAAATGTGATGCAATTGCCAATAGCCTCAAACATCTGTCCCAACAAAGTGTTCCTCCTCCTTATTTTAATTCTTATTATTTTAACAAGGTTAGTGAAGGAGAAACCATGTCACAGATTATATCTACATTTAGAGTGTCAGAACAATTATTGATGCAAAATTGTTATCCAAGCAAATGTGTGTCACATTTTGTTCACTTCCCATAACACCTGTTCACTCTGCTAGCACATTATTACCAGTTAAGGCCAGAATTCATTAGTCCCAGTTAAAGCCCACCTGAAAGCATAATTCATACACACATCTGAAAAATGAACAAAGTTAACCAAAATGTGGTACTATCATCTGAAGCTGGTGGGCAGCAAACTTCTGTAGCAGCTAATGGAAAGAAAGTGAGCCTGGCAAATAGGAATAAATTAAAAGCCACCCAGCCTTAAGGGCTGAGATCACAGAGGAGCACAACTGAGCCAACCTGCATTTCCACCACGGTACTGAGACCTTCAAAGCTCACTCTTGCCAGAGCCCCACACTTTCCCAATAAGAACAAATTTTGGTTTCTCTCCTTGACAGGTAAATGACAAAAGCAGATAGGTTAAGGCATTTTAATCCCACCTAAATATTTCCTGACCCACTTTGGGGTTCTCAGCCCTGAGCCTGGACCTTGTGTCTCCTTCCACACACGTAGAGTGCCACCATCTCCTGACTCCCCAAGCTGCTCCCATTTGCCACCAAGGAAAGTCAAGCTTGCATTTCTGTGATACTTGAACACACTTTGTGAATTTGAGGGCATCTGCCCTGCAGATATACCACTAACTGTAACCCCAGGAGGCTAAAAGAAATATCAGCACTCCAATTCATAGAGTAAAGGTCTGAGGAGGCAGCTCTGTGAACGGATAACTGCCCGGGGCTTTGCTGAGCACAATATAGCTGTCACTTGTTATTAGGTGAAAGATTTTCTGGGGAACAGTGTTTTTCATTTTGCATGTCAGAGACGGGGGAAAAAACACATTTAGACAACCATCTCTTTAAGAAAAGAGAAGAGAGCGGCGCAGCAGAGCTCACTTACCGGGGCTGGTTATTGTCAGGAGGTCAAGCCGCCGTTTCTGCTGAAAAACAAATTATAAAGGAATTGTTAAAAGGGGACTAATTTTAGTGGGTCAGCTTAGACCTACAAAGTAAGTGTTCTGACATTTACAGCAGGATTAATTACAAGTTACATAGCTCACAGTAACTCTTTTGGAAGGGATCCACATGTACTTTATGAGGGAGAAAAACCCCTTCCTCAGTCCTTTTAATGTGTTTTTATTTGCGCTTATAAAGTTTCACTATTTCTTTTTTTGGAACATATACTTGAAATGGATAGCTGGAAGCACAGATGGACTGATATATTTATAAAAGTGATTTCTGTTTCCACAGGGAAGAAGACATGGAACCAGGACAAGCAACTCTAAATTCTTTATTCATATCAATCATTGACTCAATGCCTGTATGTGATCAAACACAATTATATCGCCTTGGGGTGAACCTTTCAAAGACATGCAAGAGGATTCTAAACAAACTCAGGACTGATAAAAGGAGATCTTCTTTACATGCTGAGCACAGTCAGCCCATGGATCTTGTTGCCATCGGATATCCCTCATCCCAAAAGCTTGCCAGATTTGATCATCACTGGATGTGTGTTCAGACAGCAAAATGCAGGCAGTTATTATGGCAAATAATCAAGTTTACACAGGAGACTGGTTTCTGGAATGTCTGCAAACCTCCACAGGGTGAACAAACCTGTACTATGAGAAAGTCAGGAAAACATTGGCCTGGAACAAGCCAAAAAACCCACCAAAGCCTTTGTGATGGTGGGGTGCATCTGAAGTTCCCTTTTCCCATAACATGTAGTCAGTGCTGTTGCCTATTCCATGCTCCCAGTCTTAGGTGATCTTTCCACTACTGTGTCTCTGTAGCTTGCCACTTAAATCCAGGTGCTCCTAGACCCTTATAATAGTTTTCCACTTTTCTGTGGGCTGAGAGCTTTTTGTCACAAGTAGGGCTTTCCCCACCTCACAGACAGACTGTTACTGCCCCTTCATCATAGCACTTTCCAACTTACTGTCTTCTTCCTAACTTTGCCCAACATCAGTGTGTCTAGCAGGTATTGAAGATTATACTGTCCACTTTAATTTCTCTCTCCTAATTTGCTCAATAATGTCTGTGTTACTTTCATTTATTGTCAGCCCTATTGATCTTCCAATCTAATTCTCATCACTGCACTCACTATATTCCCTATGTGACAGCTGAAAAGTCCTTGAGGAGGAAACATTGACTTGGTATTCCCTGCCCTGAATGCTCTTCCTTGGAAATCAAGACTGATGAAACTCCTTTCCAAGCCCATCATTTCTCTGTGGTAAAGCTTCACTGGCTGACGTGCATGGACACAACTGGTCATCTCCTGAATACACTTGAGCTGTGTTGGGCACAACAGCAACTTTGGCCTGCTGGAAAACCAAGTGCGGTGTCAGGCTGGAAAATAACACATTTTCTGAAACCTTCTTGGCCTTCAGTTCCTTACCTCTGGCACAACACAAAATGTATTTGAAAGAAAATTCCTATCTGTCTTTTTCCAGAGGCACTCCTTGTTCTCTTAACTCTGCTAAGTCGTTCCAAGCATGACCTTAACAGTGTGCTCCAGCATATTTGTTTTCATTTAAAATACCGGGGCCAGCATATGCCAAATCTTTTTCCAGGTGTGCCAGGGTAAAAGGGAGCAGAAAACCCTGCTGCTGCCATCTTGTGTCACCTGCTCACCCCTTCCTTTTCTGGGAGCAGCAAAGCAGAGTAAGAAATCCTGTGTGTGAGCACAGGACCCATTTCCCAATGGGAAATGTGAGACAAAACATCTCCTAATGAGCTAAATTTTATATAGATCCTGCACCTTAATCCTGACTCATATGTACAAAGCTGTGAAATGCCAGGGCTTAGCCCCCACTGGGCCAAAAGCTTTGCTTACATTTCTCAGCACAACTGGAACTCTAAATGCTGTATATATAATGAACAGATAGAGCAGAAAATATATATCTGAAGCCTATACTCCATGAAGGCCTCTCTACCAGGAAAAAAAGGTGGAATATAAAAATCCTGCATCAAAGAAAGTTGGAAAACATAAGAATATGGAACAGAAAGGCATGCAGCCCAACTGGCCCCCAGTCCTGACTTGAGTCTGCTAGATGGGGTAAAAATAAACATTAAATGAAAAACCAAAATAGCTTAGCTTGATGCGTCAGGAAAACAAAAGCATATAGGACAGGTCAAACAAATGGGAAATAAAATGAAATTATTACAAGTCAAATGTTCAGTTTGTATTTTTTTTTCCAGTTTGAATACTGCCTTCAAGCTGACCTTGGAAAAAACAAATTAACTCCAGATCCAGGAAATCTTTGTGTATATGTTGAACTTTAAGCTGAAGTTATTTCTCTGACTTCAAGTGGAGCAGCACTGATCTTTTGCATCTAACACCTAACTGCTGGAAGGGATTTGAAATGCCACCAGGTTCTTGGCACTGGCTCCACCCAAGTGCTCCAGGCTGGAGCTCTGTGGTTCCTGCCTGCCTGGTGACAGAGGGAGGGAAAAATTCCCAGCTCTGACCTTCACTGGACCTTGAAGAGGTTTCTCTTATTTAGCTCATCAAGGGAAGTTTGTGTACACTCACCCCAGCCCTGGAGAGAAGCAAACAACAAAGTGCATTCCAGAATCGTGCATTTAAACATGCAAAAATGCCCTAATTATGGACACAATCACTTTCCGGAAATTCCTGCCTGCTCTCAGATCTCAGGATCTCTGCCGTTTCCAGGGCTCAGCTGGATGCAAGCAGCCTAGTAACTAGATGGATTTAAAAAAAAAAAACCAGACAGACTCACTTATGAGCTGCTATAAAAACAGCAGTATTTGAATTTAAAGAGAGACATTACAAATGTCACACCCATTAATAAAATAATTTCATCAGAAGAATTGTGGCTGTGGGGCTTTATGTATTTTTTTCTTTCTTTAGTGTTGAAAGATGCAAATTGCAGCTGTGGCCCCCCTCCAGCATGATCACCCTCTCCCTGTTTTGACAGATTTCTTGAAAGACTCTGCTCACAAGATGTCTGGCTTTTTTTGTTCTGCCTTTAGGAATTTCACTTCTCAAACACCTGCCCCTGCTGAGATGTTTGGGACCATCCCAATCTTCAGGCAACCCACTGTCCCAAGAATTTCTTACAATGTGAACACTGAAATGTGATGAGTGTCATCCCTGGTCAGAAAGTGGTGACAGCTCCCCATGTCTCTAAGGCTGGATTTCACCCCGGTTGACAAAAGGGCATTCCACGAGAGACACAAAAATGATCCCCACAGCATCAGTCATAATTGATGAGGCAAACATAAATATTCCCTGCATCATCACTGTATCACTGCTGCTGTAATCCTGTCCTGCCCTTAAGGGGCAGCATCCTCTTTTCCACCCTGCTGGCTGTTTGAGATCCCAAGGGCAGGAGGAGGCCACTGGTGATTCATTCTCTTCCCACCTGGAGCAGTTTCCATCCCTGGCACTACCCAGAGGCACAGTGCACCAGGGCCCAGAGCAAACCTGCAGCAGATCGTGTTCACTTCCACAAAATTAACACAATCCTTAATTAATGCAATAAGCACTGATGAGTAATAAATCATATTAAAATACAAGGAAGGCAATTATTTAATAAATTAAGCATTGATTCACTCAATAAATATTAATCTACTAAGCATCAAGAATTCATTACGTTTTAGGAAACCAGTTGAAGAACGTTGTTGGTGAGCTGGTCTGCAGTGTGCAGAATGGTCCCTGTTCACTCATAATATGCACTTATTAGTTATTAACTAATTCCTGAATTGATCAAGGCAAACAACTTGCCTGAAAGCGAGTCTGGATTATTATTCCATTGCAAGATGCAATTTTCTCGACACAGATTCTAACTCACCCCTCAGATTTTTTCCTGTTTCATAGTAACTCCTTTTCTAAGAACCTCCTTTTTTCTTCCTTGGTTTTGGAGGTCTTTAAAATATTTGCTGACTGGTGTCATTTAATTTTCACCTCAATTAACTTAGCAAGAGTTGCAAAATTAGGAAAAAAATTGCAGGGGGAGTGTAAATTAACTCATTCATTTAAGTTTAGCTTATCTATGAGATGTTCTTTCACACTTTGCTCTCTGCAGAGTTCCTCCAACCTTTTATATAGATGTGGGATGTGCTGCACTTGCTTTGACTCTTATCTACAGATTAGCAAAAGAGAAGGGAAAAAAAGCCAGATGCAAAGATGCCCCACGAGACTGATATGGAGCTGTTTCTGTAGCAACCGATGATTTTCTTCTCATGTAAGAGTGAGCCTCGTCATATCTAATTCTGAAAGTATCTGGGCCTTACTTGCCAGCCAAAGCTGTGTCAAGTATTAAGTCAATATAGTCAGAAAGAGTGATAAAAAAGCAATTATAAAGTCATCTTCCTACTTCTCCTCCAGCCATGATCCAAAAAATATCCTTATCCCTGCCTTCTGTCCCAGCACATCATCTCCAGGGCCCCTACACCCAGCAGTGCAGGTAAGTGGGGATGGAGCTGGCAGCAGCTACTCAGGGATCTACTCCACACATGATGCTGGAAGTTCCTTCAGCTTCCCAGCCACCCACATCCCAGAAACCAGCAGAGGTTTTTCTAAACAGAAAGGCCATCTATTCCTGCCTTGCTCTGAGTCTCCTGATAAAATTCCTAAGCCCAGAGCTGGAGCTTCAGTCCAGAAACTTCATCTCTAGAAAGCTGCTGTTGTCTTTGTGCCTTTCTCTGCCTTCACTCTGTGGGCAGGTTTTGCTGCAGCTGTGAACCCAAAACCAGGCTGCCCACTCACTATCAGCTCCTGACAGGAAGCTGGAATTGGCTCTCTGGGACCTCACTTTGTCTTCTGAAGGACAAAGGACTTTGTCTTCCAAAATGTATTTTACCCAGCCTGGTCTATGCTATTGATTTCTTCCCCCTAATTTGAGTGTGTTTTGAACATGTGTCTGTCCCTCACCACCTTCAATTTACTGTGCAGAGGGTTTAAGATTGAAATGAATTG